TTGACCCCTAATCGTTGACAAACTGCTGCTTCCGGAGTGAATCGTCCAACGCGCAGCACTCCGTTAACCTACCGAAGAACAGAACAGAACAGAACAGAATGCTGATGGTTTTAAAGATGGGAAAACAATTATTGGCTTGAACCAAATACTAATAATCATTGCTCAGTCCAGGGAGCAGGGACCAGGTGTTACAAGAGATCTGCGATTGACATCTTCTTCACCTTCAAGTCTTCAACCCGTCATCATCAATCATCACCAAACAATCATTGGCAACTGTATTGTTTCTGGCACCTTTTTCAAAAAAAGCTCTCCAAGAGCCAGTGAGATCATTGAAAAAAGTGTCAAATTTGACAGTTGACCTTGCTCTACCAAATAGTAAATAACTGTTTTTATAGGAAGAATATTATGGTTTGAGACTTTTAAATATGTCTGTGGACGGTGAATATATTAGGAATCCTTTAACTTTTAAGTAGGGTAAACGCGGTAATAAAAAAGGCGGTATATTCCGACACATTAAGGACGCATCGAGAAATGAAAAACTATAAAAAAAACGTATGCGTTACGTAAGTTCTGTTGCCTTCACCGTGCTTCACCTTTACGCGTCAGCAACGATGAAACGTCACAAAATGTTGCCATATTTATTAAAAAAGCCTTTAGAATGGAAACCTACCAAATCCCTATATTCCGTCACGCGGTCACTGTGTGTGGCAATATTTGACACGTGGTGAGTCGTATTGCGTCAGCACAAGGGAAACAAGATACAAGATTAATAACATGCACATGACACTCGAAAGATAATGAAATAAAACATGAAATACATTAAGGTACAATTGTAAATGAATGATTCTACTGGGTACTATAGCTAATGTTCTGCGGCCCTCTTCAGCGTTTACCTTACTGGTACCATCAAACGCCAAAACGGGGTAAAAAGATGGGCGGGGTAAATCAGGACGCACGTCCCACATTTTGTAGAAATGTTGTAGCAGCTAAACTAATTAAAATGTTCCAAAACTAAAAATAGTGGTGTTAACTTCAACATTTTTACTACCTATCTATTATGTATGAAGCTAGTCAAGAAATCGAACATTTACTATCTCTAAAAAATTGCTGTAAAAAGTGTGAAAAGTGCAATTCTTGAAAAGTACCTCTGCTAAGGTCTGGAGCAAAAAAAAATATTTGCCATATTAAAAAATTTTACTTACATAAAAGTTGCACCCAGGTGTCGGCTTGAAAATGTAATTGATGGAATTTGTCTATCTCATTCCAAAAAAAAATGGCAGCCATTTCCGCACAACGGAATAAAAAGGGACACCCCACGGGGGTAATTAGAGACACCCTTAAAAATGCATTTACAGTAGATTCTGAGTAGAAAGTCAGCAAAGGGTCCAGACTCAGTTAACAAAAAAATTGATTACCAACAAAGAATTTTGATTAAATTTACCTTGCTCAGCGGAAAAAAATTCACTTATCGATAAATTAGTGCATCATCGGTCATCACAAAATTGTACGTACTGGTACATAGAATGCTATATATAGAATTGTGCACCGGGCATCATAAAATGAAAACAAAATTGTACATAGAATGCTATATATAGAATTGTGCACCGGGCATCATAAAATGAAAAGTAATTAACCTAAACTATGATTTATTTTTCCAAAACATATTATGGCTGTCACTAAAACATTATTTTCTGTTTCATGTATGTTTTTCACGATCTTTTTTGTTATAGTGAAATCACTTGACCGATTAAAATTGTGTGGAATTACAAACCATCCTGTAAGCTTACAGATGTATAAGAAATGCTACATGGCTGCTGATATGAAGCTTGCAGTGGACAAGGTTGTTGTCAATGCTCAATGGCATGTCCATGGATACAGTAATATTGCATTAATAGTATGGTAATTAATGAATATGGTAATATCATATCAATAAAGGATAAACAAGTAAAAATCACAGAGAATGTAATTTATTTTATATCTACATCATCTACAATGAAAGAGGAGGACTTCAGAGTACTGTTAGTAATGGAAGAGTACACTCTGCATGCTTCAAACGTTATAAAATTAACTTTTATTGCAAGTGTCCCGGATTATCCCATTCTGGGGGGTAAGTCGGGATGGTTTTACTTTTACTTTACGAATAGCATATGGAATTTTTTTAATATGCCATTCGATAGCCGTCGCAAAGAGCCATAAAATGAGCCTAAACTTGTTTCTGAAATGTTTTATGGTAAGAAGTTATTGATAAAAAATGCTCAAATCCGTCCCTTTTTACCCCATTTGACGGTAAGTTATGTTAAATTATATTAGGTTATTTAGGTATTTCATGCTATTATAAGGTAAGAGGCTATGGTTGACAATTGATTTATGACTCATTGATAATCCCATACAGTCTGGTGAGCAAATTATTTGAGAATGACATAATGCAAGATAATTTGAGGTTGTGGAGCCAGGAGATACATCCAGCCAAGATTGAAGTTTTCCTACTTGTTTCTGAAATCTTGAGGCTCCATTAGGACAAATTTTTAATACATGTGGAATCTCGCTGCCCGATCCTGCACTTTTGTTAACAATTAGATAGGAGTTAATTCATCTGGCTGAAATTGCACGGTTCTGGAAATGGTGGGGAAGCTCTCGTTGCGGCCCTAATGGTGGAAGTTTTCCATGCTTGCACCTAACTGTAGTTTTAATTTAGATGGTTTTAGAATATATGGCTGAGGTTTTTGTTTTAATTTTTTTTATTTGTATGGTGTGTTTGCAGATTTATATAGGTATATACCTGTATTGGTTTTTAGGTTTAATGCATTGTCTTGATGGGATATGCTCAGGCATGTAATTTATATTGGTGTTTTGTCATGACAGTGTTTTTCATTGTTCCATGTTTTTATGTGTATTGAATCATTGAAAGTATTGCATGCATTTAATTATGTAGTATATTATTGTATATAAATAAAGATGGGGAAATGTATATGTTGTTGGAATTGGTTAATGGTTTGCCACTATGCCTAGGATTACAACAATGTCCTCAACTTATTCTAATTTGTTTACAGGACTCCACTTGAATTAATCTAATTAGTTTTACTGGACAATTATGGCTACCTTGGAAGATAGACTTTTGGGTGAAAAACTGCAGTATTATTGTAGCAGCTCAGAAGATGAGCAGTCCAGTCCAGAAGATGATGATAAAGTGTAAGTACTACCGTATGTACCGTATGCAAGATAAAATTTCTCTCTTTATTTCTCAGTTGACCAGATGAACAATAATCTCATAATTTTTTGCATGTCTAGGGGCTTTTGACTTAAGGTTTCTGTAGGATTATTGTTAATTAAATTGCTGTGTGTAATTTTTTTACCAAGTGCTTAAATGCAATATGAATATATACACAAAATCAGTGATTTTTTTATGAAGTGAATCATAGGTTAAGATTTTGAATGGAACATAGAACAAAGACACTTTCATGTAATTTTTGAGAAATTCAAATTTAATTTATTTACCAAATTATTGTAAACTTTTTTCAGTGATGAAGATCAAGGAGCCAGCGGCAGCAATAAAATTCTCCAAGATGCTGCTATTGATTGCGGCTCCAAGGAACTACAGCCATGGGAGGGTTCTTCAACAAATGTATGAATGTAACCCTTTTTTTTATTTAAAATTTGGACCTTTGGTACTATTTGTATTTGTTTTGAAAAAATTTGAATGAACTTTTGTATTTAAATTTAACTAAAGTGAAAGTGTGTTGCATTATACTCATGTTTATGTCAAGTACCTATGTAAATGGAAAGTAAAGTGCATTTTTATTTTAGTGAATTTTGTTTTTTCTATGTATGGTGAAATTGTCCACCATGAAGCATTTGCTTTCTTCAATAAAGTATATATTCCTATAAATTTTAGCCTGTGTAATTCTGGAAATGTCTATTTTTGCAATTTTTTGTATGAAGAGATTTTACCTTTTGAGATTTTCAATTTTCCTTGTTAGCTCTTATGAAATGTTTCATTTGTTTAAAAATTTTTATTGATTTCTTGGACTTGTGTGTACAGACAGGACCAAAGGGAGTCCTGAAGGATTGGCGGAACTACAAGCAGATGGAAACTGAGAAGAGAAAAGAAAAAGAAAAGGAAAGAATTCAACTTGCCAAGAAACTTGCCCTCACATGTCGTTCTCATGTGAGCTAGTTTTATGAGTCTGTGTCCATGCTAAGGCAGGGTGTGGATTGCAGGTATTTTGTTGCTGTAAGCACTCAGAAAATTGAGAATGTGACCTCTCCCCCCAAAAATTATGTCAAATCCTTATTACTTGGGATGCAAGTAGCATGCAACAACTTCCAGGTGATGGTCATCTTGTGCAAGCTTTAGTTGAAATTAGTTGTGTGTGCAAACTATACGCTAGTAAGACCAATAACTATATTACTTATGCTTAGGAAAAAAATTATTTAAAAATACATTTACACTTCCTTATTCTTTACAGGAGCTTTTAAGCTTCAGATTATACTTATGTAAATATTTTTAATTGTTCTTCAGAAGATAAGTTTCTGAAGATGACTTGTGAGTATAAATAGAAAAAATGAAAAATTAATTATTGAGGGGTTTTCCTTTAGCCTATTTTGGCTTGTGATTAAGCTGATAAAGTTTAAATCATTTTGTAATTGGTTTATTATCTATGCAGCTAGAGGATGAGAAGGCTGAAGCTGCCCAAAATGAAGACAAAGACGATGTTGACAGCTTGCTTGACGCAGCAGTTCTGGAGTCCTACATTGCACAGCGTATGCAGGAGATGATGGAACAGGCAAAGTTGAATTGGTGAATTACTTTATGTGAGAGGCTAGTAAACTAGAAATAAATCCCAGCTTCTGGATGTCATTGACCGAAATTTTAGTGTGGTTTGTTTGAAGTAAATGGTTGTATTTTATTTGCCTGAATACATGGTGACATGAATGCTTTTTTTTCAATAAAGTGTTGTGGTTATTCATGATAATTAATGTTTGAATTGATATTTGCTTAAAATGAAAAGTTGTTCATTTACCAGAAAAAAAGGGTCTTTGAATATTTTTTTAAATAACAAGGTGTAGTTTATTTACCAGAATAAATGTTGAATTGAAGGGTTTTTTAAAGCTCTGTCAAGTTTGGCCGAGTGGTTCACTTGAAAAGCACCGAGGAGTTTTTGAAAGCAGTTGATGAGGAGGACAAGAAAGTAACTGTGATAGTGCACATATATCGCAAGGTAAGCACCAGTGAAGCTGTAAAAGAATCCCATTAAAAACATAAGCTGGTAAAAAAAATACTAAATTTCTTGCATTTAATCTCTGCATCTGCACTTTTTTATCCATTCTTCTATTTGGTTGCAGTATATTAATTATAATAAACTAAATAAATCGCTTCTATTAAAGCCTCAGTAGCTTTGAATTAATCATTTATTATTATTATAATTAAATATTATTGATAAATGATAAATAAATATTATAAAATAAAATTATAATTATATTATGAAATAAATATTATAAAATAAATATTATTAATAAATGATTAATAAATATTATTATTTATTAATCATTTATTATTTCATGTTAATCTTTACCTGATTATTTCATTGTTCTTACCTCGATTTTAAATGTAATATTAAAATTCTCTTTTTTTTTTAATGACTCTTCCTTATATAGTACACTAGTAGCCTTATTATTTTTTTAACCCGTCGCTTTCTGTGTCATAAATGCCTACATTTATTTCAATGTTCATTAATTCATTGTTTATATATAGGACGCTGCAGGCTGCGATGCGGTGTCAGGCTGCCTTGCCTGCCTCGCTCAAGACTATGAACACGTCAAGTTCTGTGAGCTTAGCGCCACCACCGCCGGCCTCTCCAGCAAATTTGTGAGTAAAAGTAGTAGTAGCTGTGATGTCAGCGTCGAATTGGCAAAATGTTGTTGGCTAAATTTCGCCAATTCCAGTCATTGCAGAATTCTTACAGCCTGCTGGGATTTCGAACCCGTTGCTTTACTCATGCTGTTCTCTCTTTGCTCTTTGCTTTACTCATGCTGTTCTCCAACATCTGGCAATCTGGCCGATTTTTACAACCAGACCTGTCACAGGAAACTGGGATCAAACTTGCAACTTACTGCTCGAATCCTGGCAGTCGAAACTATAACCACCGGACCACCATGGCTCTGCTATCCAACACTATACTCTGAAGCCATTCTGTCAGTGATTCTTGATGTTTTTTCAAGCTTGTTACCAAATTCATTATGCGCGACACAATTAGCAGTTAATCCTGTCCCCCAAATGTCATATGTATACGGAGTGACATTAACGATAGCATTGTTGTCACATGTCCATTACGACACTAGGAAAACTGAAAATTTGACCTCGTGTAAATTGACCCAGTTTGGAACAACTGCATGACGATAGTTCAGGTTGATGAACATGAGCAGGTGTAAATGAAACAAATTGTGTGCTAATCATGCTTTGCCTTCACTGCACCACTCCTACAGTAGTCAGGAATAATTACAGTAGTCAAAAGTGGGTGTAAAGTGAGAGTATTCTGTTACAGATGAAATAGATTACTGAAGTGACTTCGATGATGCTCACTATTAGCCATGTCCGAACAAAATTTTGGGTACTGTCCTAAATGTTGAAAAATTACTTTTTTTATCTCGTAAGGGATTTTTTTTTCTTTAGAAGTGGTTATTTTGGACGACTAAGAGAGTGGTGGGAGAGAGTACCATTTTATCCTATTCGACTCGAAAACATTGTGTCATTTTTCATGATTTCTGATATCAAGTTAGGTAAATTGCTACGTTATTTAGTCTTCAGATTATATAAATTCACAATTAAAGTTAATGACAACTGGCACATTTGTGCATTCTTGCCATGCGAAAAATCTATCAAAATGTACGTGCAAACATTACTGTAATTCCTAGCTTGTAAAGTAATACTTACAACATTTTGTTGTGCGAGTACATAGAATATATATTGTAGAGCCTGGGATGCTTTCTAAAACAAGCAGCACAGCATCTTACACTAGGTTGCCTTGTGAACAATTCATATTATATTTAATGCGTTCACAAATGCGCAGGTGGTGAACGGTGTCCCGGCCTTGTTGGTCTACAGAGGTGGGCTCATGATCTCCAACTTCGTTCGCCTCACCGACAGTTTGGGGGACGACTTCTATGCCACAGATCTTGAGTCATTCCTCGTTGAGTGCGTCATGGTCTATTTTCTACTTTTAGTCTGCATGTCTTGTTTTCATGTCTTAGTTGAGTGCGTCACGGTCTATGTTCTACCTTTAGTTTGCATGTCTTGATTTAGTGCGTCACGGTCTATGTTCTACTTTTAGTTTGCATGTCTTAATTGAGTGCGTCACGGTCTATGTTCTACTTTTAGTTTGCATGTCTTAATTGAGTGCGTCACGGTCTATGTNACGAGGTAACGATTCAGCTCCCATCTTTGTATTAGATAACGATTCAGCTCCTATTTTTGTATTAGACAAGGTATATTTTTTGGATTACAATATGTTGTGAGTTGCGACGAGTCACCAGAAAAATTACTTGCATTCAAACTATGGCGTCATAATAAGAAAATTTTATCAGCCATGAATGAAAGTTGCTAAATTTTATGAGTTAACTAAGAAAGGTCGCCTGTGATGGACATGACTAAACTATTATTTGTATGCAGTATATAACAGTTTTTATCCTTCATCTTGTTACATTTTCTTCACTCACCTTCTAACTTAATCATAGTTTCATTTCTACCGAGGGACCATGGCCTCAAAGTTGTACCTGACGTCACGACAATCTCTTCGTGGAGTAATAATAAAATTCGTAGTTGAATTGTACAATTTGACGTTTCACGCGAAGTATTTATTTACACAGGCACGGATCGTTGCCAGACCGCACGTTGGTGCCGGCATCCTGCATACGGTCGTCAGCCGCGGATGCCGGGGACGACAGCGACGTCAGCCTGGATGACTGATGATGTCAGCGACGTCAGCCTGGATGACTGATGACGTCAGCCTGGATGACTGATGACGTCATCACCACGCATATCAAGGATCGAAGACGTTCATTTAGAGAGATGCTAGTTTAAATTGAATATTATTGTCAATAATGTCAGTCATTCCTATTATTTATTTGTTTTGTTGTAAATTCCATTGATGCATTTATTCCTCATAACGTTCAATAGATCTGCAATGACCTTGATCAGCTTCGCCGTGCGAATAAAGCCTCATAAAATTGTCTTCGTGCCGTCTATTTGAATTTATCGATTACAAAGGTGACAATTATGTGGTTTATTTAATATTCAAATGGACACGGGTTGAACCGCCAAGTACAACAATTATTGAACATCAATTTAAATTTGATATTCAACTAGCACCAGTTCTGAACTCCATCTGCTGGACGACATCTTGCAACATTTCTCGGGCGGAAAATAGCGTGTTGTTCATCCCCACTGTACCATAGCCATTAGTTTCAAAAATCTTACGGATAAGAAATGGATAACTTCATCTTCTTCGCTGAGTGCAATTAAGTACCAAATTTTTACATCGTTTTTTAACGTAGATTATGCACATTTTGTTGCAATGTATTCAATAATCTACTAGTAAAAACGTTCAAAATAATCTAGTCATTCATCATTCTTAATCAGTAATGGAATGTAGTCTTTCAAATACTCATCGATTGAAATGAATCGGGTCATCGTTGAACTCGATGCAAAATTAAATTGTTGATAGTTTTCATGCATTGAAGTAATATCCTGTACCCGTAACCTTGTATTTTTTTAGTGTCGCATCCACATCATCTTGCACCTAAATAAAAGCCCTCAAAATTTGACTGAAATCTACCTTTTACGTTTTTCCTTGCATATCCAATTTCAGGACGCAGGCACAAGTAGGAAACAACAATGTTGACATTCACCAAAATAGTTTATTGATAACTAGTTAGGAAAACCTAAGACAATTTGTACAAATATTCAACAGCAGCCCGGGAGCGCATTTATCTCAACCATCATCAGATGGTTCTAAACAATAAATAACGGAGGGTTCCATCACTAGACATAACTAGAAGACTTCACTAGGGCATAAAAAACTAGAATGGCACTGCCATATTTAAAATCTCAGACACTGCCACGAGATCAATAAAACGAACTTAATAGATCTAAATAAAAATCAAGACGCTAATATAGAGTAATGTTAACAGAATCAATGGACAGGATATACCAGTTCTCTAAAGTGAGACTCCATCATATACTAGACTTTGTGTGGATTACTTCTTCACTGCCGTAGAATCTTTGGAAATTGGCCGACGAAACAGCAAGATGTGTGGCTCTGAAATTGGAGGGCAAAAGACATCAATGAATAAGGCATTCATTTCAGTACATTAATTCATTATAATAGTTTAAATAATAAAAGACAGTTGATTTTAATAGTATATTATATGCAATTTCTTGACTAATGCGAGGCTTTGACAAGTTCATCACTTTATATTTTTAGGCTCTCTTAAGTAGTGAATTTTATTTCAAATAAGTCAACAATATCTGCATAAATAGTTTCAAAAATACTTGAGCTTATTATACATCACTGCAACTGATTAATGTAGATAAATTCAATCAATTTAATACAATGAAACTCAATTTAATTACAAATAATTTAATGATTTTTGATAAATCCAAACTCAAGAGCCATTTCAAAATGTCAACTGACCAGGGTCATGTATCATGTAGTGCACCCATCCTTCACTCTGCTGTACACCGATGCCTCTCCACTCCTTGTCGCTCATCAGGTGGGTTTTGGGCACCAACTTCACCAAGTCTTTTGGAAGCACCACGTGCCTGAAAAATTTAGAATTGGTAAATTGGATTTAGTATAATTTGATCTTCTAATTTCTTAATTTTTATTATGTCAAACATTAGCCTACAACATAACTTCACACTTTGCCAGTTTCAATCTAAATTGTTTTGAAATCCGCCCTAGACATTAATTACATAAATGTTTTTAAGGTCTGATAATGTCATCAGGTGGAGTTTGAAGTTGACCTGAATTGGATTAATAGGAAAACGTGAAATGAGAAGCTTAAAGGTCTTCTTGAAACTTGAACAGAGAAGAGGATACTACATTGCACTTCTAAAAAGTTCAACTTACAAATGTGTTGAACTCAAACCACAGCAAGAACTAACTGTTAAAAAAAAAAAAACTAAAAACATTGATAACAACTCATTAGTTGTTATCAATGCAACTAAGTTCATTGCTTTTATCAAATCCCACCCTACAGGGAGTGGGCTGGTAGAAAATCTTATCACAAGGAAAATTTGCTAATTTTGATTTAAATATAGTGTCACAAATAAAAAAAAAACAACATACAATTGATACACTCTACAATCGAGACATTTATACTAATCTATGTGGACAAAAGATGATGGATGCTAAATTCAAGTCAAGATTGCTAGCTAGATGAATTAAAAAGATGCCTTTAGATTAAGTGTAGTTTTCAAATCCTGATGGCAGAGTGGAATTCTAGGAAATAATTTAGTCCATGTGTATTGAGAAGCTTGATCAAGCAGGGTTCAGGCTCAGGAAAAATATGTATGTATATAATATAATATCCTATACCTTTTGCTGCTTGATCATGCACTTTGATTTGATGCATAAACTTTCTGTCATTTTTGGGCAAATGTATGTCAGAAAATTATAGGCAAATGTATAACCAATCACAGTCTTCAGACTGTGAATTGATCATGATTTCATTCACTCCAGAGTCCAGACTATGATTTTTTGTGAGCTGGACTTTCCGATATGCTGGGTTAACTGATTAATTAAATACCCCTCTAGAATTTTACATTGAATTTTTTTCCTCTCTTGATTTTTTTTTGCAGGCCTTGTCTTCAGTTTTCATATACTATAACAAATTAGGCATTCACCTAATGGAGCAGGAACGGAATAATATATATCTTCTTTCCAAGCCAAAGTAGATATATTCCATGCCTGCTCCTGGTGCATGCCCAATTTTTTTCTGTGAAACTAAGAAAAAAGCTTGCCTGTAAAGAAAATCAAGCAGAATTAAAAAAAAATTTATAACAAAGATCATTTCACTGATTATTGAAAATGACAGGCAAAAAAGAATTCACCATCTTCCATAATTTTTACTGATAAAATTAGACAAGGGTGATAGGAACAGGTGAAATTGTCAGTAAGCACAAAAGATTTTAAAATTCTGATTTAGTAGTAAAATTTTGTAGCTAGAGGTAAGTACTTTTTTATTAATTTAGAGTCTTGCAGCCAGATCAAGCAATTTTGTTAACACTTAGATGGCAGATAATTCATCTAACAGGATTCTTGCAGAGGAAAAAATGACAGGAAAGCTCTAATGATGGCTTGGTAAGTAGATATATTCCAATCTAATGGACTATGCATATGGGTATGGGTGTTCATGTCATATTCATAGATGGTTTCAGCAATTTCCTAGTTTGGAAACCTTGTATTACCAATCTGGAGTATTGTACAAAATTTTTTAACAAATTTGAATAAGAAAGATTATTTTATGGATTAATTCTGAAAATTGCTGACAGAAATGAACAGTTTCAAAAATTCAAAGTTAGTTAGTTAGTTTAGTGGGCACAGGTTTACTAGCGCTTCAGCTATTTAGCTATCTTGCACCGAAAGTCATTTTGAACATCACCAAAGAGGTGGAAGGTCTCAATCATTAAAAGTTTCTCAAATCAAAAATAGGTCATCACCCACATGGGGTGGAAGGTCTCAGATGTCCAGCCCGCTGAAGCTGGCTCGAAAGAAACAGCATTAGCATCTCAAAGAGACGAAGTAACAAGGAGGGACAGGTGAAAAGTAACAGAAACGAAGACACTCAAACAAGAGGTCGCTTACACGGGACGTCGGCCACCCGCACGAGAGAGACAGAGAAGGGAAATGTGAGGAATCCTACCTACATAATAACTTAACCCCACAACTGAGACCTACAGTCAGACACCGCGAGCTCAACGGTGGGGCGCTCAGGAACAATCCCCCTAGGAGCGCAAAATCCCATAGGACTTCTGACGTGCACAGACACGCGTCAGAAGTCCCCCCTGAGGGGTCAAAAATTCAAAAGAAAAGGCAATAGAGATATAATAAATGAGTGAAATTTACCACAAGCACTGGCATTTTGCCAATTTGGAATATTGGGCATAAATTTTCTAAATTGCAGGCAAAAACGATTGTCACAGGTAATTATTGAAAATTGCAAATAAAAACAGACTCTTATGTAAGCGTATATTGTCGACTAAAATAGTAGAACTATTTTAGCTTTCTAAAGTACGGCACACGGCACATTTTCTTACCAGCATAGTACGGCGCACCGCGCAGGTCGTTAAAATGACAAAATAAATTCCTGCACACCTGGCACATCTTCCTGACCATAGAGTTCAGTTGGCTTTACGTCACTCTCAAAACGCAACACTATGCGCCAGCAACAATGAAATGTCACAAACTGTTGCCATATTTATTTAAAAGCCTTTAGAATGCAAACCTACCAAATCCATATATTCCATGGCTGTGTGTGACTAAATTTGGCAATTTGTAAGACTAATTCTAAGGGCGCTTTAAATTCTACTAATTCATAATTCCGACCCTCTTGTGATTGAATTCCGATCGTTGTGTGAGCTGTATTGGAATACTCAATACGACACAGCTCGGAATTAGAACACTATTGAATATTGAACACTACTTAATTGGGCTTTTAATTAAGAGCTATTAAGGTTTTAATTAAGAAAATTTTAATTTTTGCACACAGCTCGGAACAAGCTATGTGTGTCTAATTCTGAGCTGTGTCGGAATTAGTTTTTATGTGTCTAAAACCATCTCTTAACTTAATCATATATTAATTTATTTACCACTTGAAATCAGCAAATACAAGTATACTTAATTTTTTTAAAGGATTCCTAATATATTCACAGACTTATTTAAGAGTCTCAAACCATAATATTCTTCCTACACAAACAGTTTATCACTATTTGGTAGAGCAAGGTCTACTATCAACTTTGACATGTTTTTCGATGTTCATACTGGGTGACGTGCGTCGTGCACTGTCTCTCTTTGGATCCTAACATTTTCCTGCCAGACGGCACACAAAATTGTACATAGAATCACAAAATTGTACATAGAATGCTATATATAGAATTGTGCACCGGGCATCATAGAATGAAAAGTAATTAACTTAAACTATGATTTATTTCTCCAAAACATATGATGGTTGTCACTAAAACATTTTCAGTTTCAGGTGTGTTTTTCATAATCTTTGTTTATAGTAAATTCACTTAACCCAATTAAAATGGTGTGAAATTACAAGCCGTCCTGTGAGCTTACAGATGCAGAAAAAATGCTATAAGGCTGCTGATATGAAGCTTGTAGTGGACAAGGTTGTTGTAAATGCTCAATGGCATGTTCATGGATACGGTAATATTGCATCAATAATACGGTAATACCGCATCAATAATACGGTAATTAATGTATATAGTAATATCATATCAATAAAGGAAAAACAAGTAAAAATCACAGAAAATGTCATATATTCTACCTCTACATCATCTACAATGAAAGAATAGGACTTCAGACTACTGTTAGTAATGGATGAGTACGCTCTGCATGCTTCAAATGTTTCAAAATGAAGTTTTATTCCAAGTGTCCCGAGTAGCCCCGTTCGATGGGGTTACTAGGGACACTCTTTTTTTGCTTCTGGCACCTTATGAATAGCATATGGAATTTTTTTGGAGGAGCCATGTGATAGCCCTTGCAAAAAGCTTTGAACTGAGCCTAAACTTGTTTATGAAATGTTTCATGGTAAGAAGTTATGAATGAAAAACATTCGAAAGCGTCCCGAGTAGCCCTGGTTGACGGTAGTCGGTAGGTTTATCAATCTTAAGAGAAGCTCAATCAGTTTGGAGACCGAGTTTTCTTGAGAGTTAGTCTGTAGGGCATTTTCATCAGTTTGTGTGGATACTGAGATTTTTTCCAAGCCAGCTTGTGTTTGCCAACTCATCGTGCGTTTGACCTGAGTTACCGGATGGGAGGTTGCAGAAGGGTTGGGTGATGTACTCGTTGATACATTTATAGCTGTGTTACAGGTTCTGCTCATAGTCATGTCTCTTTTACATGCTTCACGGCATCTCTATAGGACATCTTCTTGACAGAGCAAGCTTTCTCATCTAATAGCTTGAATATCATTTGAGGGCAACCTCCATAGTTAGCAGTATGTGTGCCACCACAGTTGCAGCATTTTGGTGCTAGACTCCTAGAAGAGGGGCAATCTTTAATATTATGCGGTCCCCCGCATAATATGGTTAAATCCTTGACATTTATAGCCCTACCAAAGCTTACTTACAAATGCTTCCACTATGAATTGTTGGTAGCCAAGATACAGGTAGGTAGGTAGATGCTGCGATGTAAAAAGCACCTTAAACATAGCTTTTTTACCTTGTCTTTGCCTTTGTAAATTCAAACTGCTGTGGCATCCCGCACCATTGTATCCGGCTAGTTGGTAGTAGCCCCAGTAGACCGTATTGGTTTTTAGGTTTAATGCATTGTCTTGATGAGATATGCGTGGGCATTTAATTTATATTGGTGTTTTGTCATTAGTGTTTTTTATTGTTCCATGTTTTTATGTGTATTGAAGCATTGAAAGTATTGTATGCATTGAATTATGAAGTATACTTTATTTAAATAAAGATGGGGAAATGTATATGTTATTGGAATTGGTTAATGGTTTGCCACTATGCCTAGGACTACAACAATGTCCTCAACTTATTCTAATTTGTTTACAGGACTCCACTTGAATTAATCTAATTAGTTTTACTGGATAATTATGGCTACCTTGGAAGATAGACTTTTGGGTGAAAAACTGCAGTATTATTGTAGCAGCTCAGAAGATGAGCAGTCCAGTCCAGAAGATGATGATAAAGTGTAAGTACTACCGTATGTACCGTATGCAAGATAAAATTTCTCTCTTTATTTCTCAGTTGACCAGATGAACAATAATCTCATAATTTTTTGCATGTCTAGGGGCTTTTGACTTAAGGTTTCTGTAGGATTATTGTTAATTAAATTGCTGTGTGTAATTTTTTTACCAAGTGCTTAAATGCAATATGAATATATACACAAAATCAGTGATTTTTTTATGAAGTGAATCATAGGTTAAGATTTTGAATGGAACATAGAACAAAGACACTTTCATGTAATTTTTGAGAAATTCAAATTTAATTTATTTACCAAATTATTGTAAACTTTTTTCAGTGATGAAGATCAAGGAGCCAGCGGCAGCAATAAAATTCTTCAAGATGCTGCTATTGATTGCGGCTCCAAAGAACTACAGCCATGGGAGGGTTCTTCAACAAATGTATGATTTTATGCCCTTTTTTATTTAAAATTTGGACTTTTGGTGCTATTTGTATTTGTTTTAAATAAATTTGAATGAACTTTTGTATTTAAATTTAACTAAAGTGAAAGTGTGTTGCATTATACTCATGTTTATGTCAAGTACCTATGTAAATGGAAAGTAAAGTGCATTTTTATTTTAGTGAATTTTGTTTTTTCTATGTATGGTGAAATTGTCCACCATGAAGCATTTGCTTTCTTCAATAAAGTATATATTCCTATAAATTTTAGCCTGTGTAATTCTGGAAATGTCTATTTTTGCAATTTTTTGTATGAAGAGATTTTACCTTTTGAGATTTTCAATTTTCCTTGTTAGCTCTTATGAAATGTTTCATTTGTTTAAAAATTTTTATTGATTTCTTGGACTTGTGTGTACAGACAGGACCAAAGGGAGTCCTGAAGGATTGGCGGAACTACAAGCAGATGGAAACTGAGAAGAGAAAAGAAAAAGAAAAGGAAAGAATTCAACTTGCCAAGAAACTTGCCCTCACATGTCGTTCTCATGTGAGCTAGTTTTATGAGTCTGTGTCCATGCTAAGGCAGGGTGTGGATTGCAGGTATTTTGTTGCTGTAAGCACTCAGAAAATTGAGAATATGACCTCTCCCCAAAAAGTTTGGCCAAATCCTTATGACTTAGGATGCAAGCAGCATGCAACAACTTCCAGGTGATGGTCATCTTGTGCAAGCTTTAGTTGAAATTAGTTGTGTGTGCAAACTATACGCTAGTAAGAGCAATAACTATATTACTTATGCTTAGGAAAAAAATTATTTAAAAATACATTTACNAATAAAAAAAAAAAAAAAAAAACTGGCTGCTTTGTGGATGACACATGACAGTGGATCGAGATAGCTATTCTGACGTTAGACGTTACTCAAAACGCGTGCAGGACTTTGCTGATGGTTTTAAAGATAGGAAAACATTCATTGCCTTGAACCAAATAATAATCATTGCTCAGTCCAGGTGTTAGGATACAAGCGATCCGCCATCCGCGATTGACATCATCACCTTCAAGTCTTCAACCCGTCAATGTCATCATCAATCATCATCACAAACCATCATTGGCAACTATTGTTTCTGGCAACTTTTTCAAAAAGCTGTCCAAGACCAAATTTTTATATATATAAAGAATTGTTTGGCTGGACTTTGGCAGGTATGCAAAAAATAGATCTTCAGCACTTCAGGTGTTCAGGCCTCAGGGGCCCAGGGCATCCCACAAAAATCTTTATTTAGTAAATTAGTTAATATGGTTTCCCAGGCTGAGGCTTCTGGGACTGGGCTCAGTGGGCTGAGCTGCTGAGGCCCTGAGGGGCAGGTTTAGGCCGCCCGTGTAGCCTTGTAGGCCTAGCCTCCTAGGTAGTAGGTGCCCGTGTTGTATCCCAATCAGGACCCAATACAGCTCACACAGCAAACGGAATTCGAACACGTGGATGTCGGCAATACGTATTAGTTAAATTTGAAGCGCTGACGCAATACGACTCACC